ATTCTAGGCTCCACGGCTGTGTGACGATACAGTCCTGCCAATTCAACAATAGCTCACTCTTAGACGTGGCCTATATGTCCTTCAACAGATGAATAGCTGAAGAAAATGTGGACTCTGCACACCATGGATACACACACTACTCTGCCGTGAGGAAGGATGAACTTCAGTCATCTGTAGGAAAATGAGTACATTCTTGAGATTTTAAGTGAAATAAATCAGACACACATGCTTAAATATCACATGCTTTCTTTCATATGAAAACTCCAAATTATAAGTAAATTAAAGAGCAAACTTAAAGATAATAGGAAACAGAAAGATAGGTCTTTTGCAAATAGGAAGGTATAAGGGCCTGGCCAGCGGCAGGGATGAGCCGGATTTGCAGAGGTGAGTGCAGCCACGTGCCCAGACCCTCCCAGAATGCTTGGAAGGGACGAGGGGTCAACTACGGGCCAACATCACACAGTGGGACCAGACTCACGGCCTTATGGAGCGAAGCCTCTGGCCCAACCTCCCCACACCCCAGTCAGCCCTCAGGGTGGTCGTTAAACAGACCACCCCCCTTCCCTGTCCTTGCCCCATCCCCACCGAGTCCCGCCCAGACGCCCTCCTTTTCTTTCCTCCCTGCCTCCTGGTTCCATCAATAAAAGGCCACCAAGGCTGCAGTTTGGGGCGCCCTCATCAGGCTCTCTCCCACTGGGGGTCTCGGGTCCTCTCAGCCCCTCTGGGACCAACCCTGAGTAATCTTTCATTCTCCTGCGCTGTGCTGTGCTCGTGACCTGCGACAGAAAGGGGAAGGGACACGAGATGAGAAGGAGACTTGTGAGTGCTGTGTCTGTGTACCGAGTCCCCACGAGAAGTGTGATCGTTATGTGCTACAAACAGGCAGAAATGTACATACAGTGAAACCTTGGTTTGTGGGTGTGATTCATTCGGGAAGCGTGCTTGTACACCAAAGCACTCGTGTATCAAAGCGTATTTCCCCATCAGAAACAATGGAAACGCAGATGATTTGTTTCACAACCCAAAAATATTCCTATAAAAGTGATTACTACTGTGATATAATAGGAATGATAAAGAAAATACAAAATAAGAAGAAAAATAAACAAATCAACCTGCACTTACTTACCTTTGGAAACCTTTGTGGCTGATGTGGAGGAGACAAGAGACTTTCCCATCACTGACAGAATCACTGCTGTCCATTGGCTCTGTGGAATCTTCTTTTCATGCAGCTTTAACAAGAAACCTGTCCAGTGACACTCGCCTTTGCCTCCTTTTGAGGGTTTGGCGGAAGGGGCCACTGCATTGTCCGTAAGCAGATTCATTGCTCTCACTGGGACAGCCTTATTCAGGTGGTGCTTTTCCACAAGACTTTGCACTGTTCCGCACAGTTCACACATCTCCTAATTTCACTTGAAGTGAGGGATCCCTCTGCCCTTTTCTTCTCCTCCTCTGCAGGTGAGAGCTCCTCCATAGCCTCTTGATGTTGGGAGATGATCACCCACAATCCCGCAGTGAGAGAGACAGAGACAGAGGTGGGGAACTATCGGCTCAGTTGTGATCAGCTGACATCTGGTGTCAGTACCACTCGTATTGTAAGATGTTGCTCATTTAACAAGTTAAAATTTATTAGAAATGTTTGCTCATCTTGTGGAACACTCGCAGAAGAAGTTACTTGCAATCCAAGATTGTAGAAAGGGTCCAAGAGACAGAGGGAGGAGGGGAGAGATGAAGTGGATAAAAAAAGATCCTTAATTAATTTGCTTTCATTCATACATATGTATGTATTTCTTTAAGTCTTATTGAAAATCAGTATGCATGCAGAAAATATCCATGTAAAATAAGCATGTGGGCAAGCACGTCCATAGTGTCTGCACCAACTGACACCTTTCCCAGTGAACACGCCTGTAACCACCATCCAATAAGAAACAGCACGCCCGGGTCCCCAGGGCCACGTCTGTGCTCCACCCCCACTGGAGTGTCCCCGCAGTCCCAAGGGCAGGCCTAGTCTTACTGGGACACACAGATGAGTCACTGGTGCTGCAGTCTCCGGAGGCAGAGCTGCTCTGCTTCTGCTCTGCTTCTGCTCCGCAGCTGGCGCTATCTGCTCACTGTGGCATAGGCCTCGGGCACGGCTCTGCCTCATGTGCTGTCCCCGGCAGGGGGCGTGGAATTGCAGGGCCCACCCCATTCACCGTGGGTTCAATTTACCACAGAAGGGGAGGGGACTAGGGTGACCAGCGTGGCTGTTTGTGTTCCCTGTGAGTCTGGCGCACATTTATATGCATTTTAGGTGAATGTGTGCCAAGAGTGAGCTGCTGAATTGAGGCCGTGCCGCGGTTGGGTTTTAGAAAACGCCATCCCCTTGGGATGAGAGTTCCGGGTGTCCTGCGCGTCCTCCAAGATGCAGTGGCCCCCCGGCCCCTCCCATCCTTCCCTCTTCTTTTCCTTTCTTCCCTTCCCTCTTTCTCTTCCTATTATAATTTTAGCCCTTCTGGTAAATATCTACTGCTACTCTGTTTGATTTTATTTGCATTTCGTGCTAACGTTCTTGTATGCTTCCTGGCTACTTGGATAGACTCTTCTGTGAAGTACGTTTTCAAGTTTTGGCTTTTTCAAAATTCTTTTCAAGTTTTCTTAAAGGTATGTAGAAATTTCTCTCTTCTGAGCCCAGGTCCCTTGTTAGACACATGAAATGCAGGCAGATGTCTCACAAAATTCTACTCAACTTGTGGTTTGCATTTTCACTTCTTAACTTGTGAATTTCATGAACAGAAACTCTTAATTCTAATGAAGAAATATTTATTTTGTCCTTTCTGGTACCACAGTTTGCATTCTGTTTGAGACATTTTTGCCTACCCCAAAGTCATTAAGATTCTTTACATTTCTTGGCTAATCTTTAACCTGTCTGGAATTTTTTTGTGTGTATGGTATGTGGTAAGGATCAAAATGCGTTTGTAAAACTGACATGCCATTATTTCTGTGTCATTCATTTAAATACACACACACACACACACATTGTCTATAGATAATCCAGCTGGAGTACGGGTTTTTCAGTTTTCCTACTCCTTTTTAAGATCATCTTGGATATTCTTTTTTCTTTATAATTTCATATTTTCAAAATAGCTGGCAGTATTTTAGTTAAGATTGTGTTAAACCCATTGGTGAACTTACGGGTGATAGTCAGCCCCTCAATCCAAGAACACAGAGCACCCCTTTATTTATCCAGGAATTCTGCTTTTCTTTAAAATTCCCAACTGGATTACTTTCTTAGGTTAATACCTACCTAATATCTCTTTAATGCTGTTGTATTTTATACCATCTTAAACATCAGATCCCATCCAGTTGTTATCGGGCTAAGGGAAGCAAGAACATATTTACATGTTGACTTTTTACCAGTTGACCTACTAACTTGGCAATCATGTTAGTTTGTCAGAGGCCCCCTTTGAATTGTCTGTGAATAAATACAGGTTCATTCCTTCCTGTCTAATCCTCACGTATTTTCTTTCCTTAAAATGTTGGTGAGGAACTCAAAGAGAATTGTTGAGACTTACCTTCTCATTACTGAGTGCAGGGAGAATTGCTGGAATATTTCACAATGAAAAATAATAATAATTTCTGTAGGCTTCACTATGGATCAGCTTTATCAGATTGAGGAAGCTTCTTTTTATTCCTAGTGATTTTAAACAATGCCTTTATACTGTATTGTATTAACATATTTTACTTGTGTATAGTAAGAAGAGTATTTTACATAGTGAATTACAATTTTTTTTTAAATGCTAAACCAAACTTGCATTCCAAGAGTAAATCCCACCTTAGCTTGATGGATTATAGATTTCATACATCAATTGATTTGATTTTCTAATATTTTGTTTAGAAATTTTACATCTATATAAAAGTGATCATCTATAATTTTCCTTTTTTGTAATCTTCCAATCAGATTTTGGTATTATACTTTTGCTGATCTCATAAAATATTGTGAAGTACTCTCAGTATTTCTACAGTCTGAACTAGTTTTTTGTAAGATGAGTACTTTTTTCTTCCTTAAACATTTAGAAAATTTTCTCAGTGAACCAATATGCCTGATGTGTGTGTGTGTGTGTGTGTATGTAAAAGGATTTTAATTTAGTAACAGTTATTTGTAAGACATAGGGCTCCCCACATTTTGGTAAACTGTGTTTTTCTAAGAATTCATCCTTTTATGTAACATTTTAAATTTACTGATGATATAAGAATTATATATACAATCTCTTGAAATCTTTTCAATGTTTACAGGGTCTCTAATGATCCTTTTTTGATTCTCAATTTTGATAATATTTCCCTTTTCTTTATGTCTGTTAGTCTTCCTTTTTTTTTTTTTTGGTACCGGGGATCGAACTTGGGACCTTGTGCTTGCGAGGCAGGCAAGGGAACCACTGAGCTAAATCGCCGGCCCTTTTATGTCTGTTAGTCTTTTATTCTTCTCAGTGACTTAATTTTATTAATTCTGTGAGAAAACTAGTTTTTAAAAGTATTTACTGCCTATTGTTTATTTGTTTTTATATTTCATTGATTTTTTGATTTTATTTCTTTTATTTCTTGTCTTCAATTTGGTTAGATTTAAGAGATTTGGGTTTTCAAACTCCTTGAGATATTTACAGAGATTATTTTGTATTTGGCCATTGTGAATAAGTGTAATATATACATGAAGGGTGTAAATGTCCTCTTAAATCCTCTTTTCTCTTCATCTCAGAAGTTTTATTATGTTGTATTTTCATTATCATTTAGTGGAAAATATTTTCTAATTCCCCTTGAGATTGCTTCCTTGACTCATCAGTTTTAACTACATTACTTAATTTCCAATATTTGTAAGTTCTTGATTGTATTTTTCATTGATCTAATTTATTTCCACCCTAGAGACACAAGACAATCTTTGTGATTTTAATGTGTGGACATTTGTTGAGATGGCTTTACGATACTGCACAGCTGCAGTTTGGGTTTATTTAAAGATGTATATTTTCCAGTTGTTGCTTGGTGAAAGCCTGTTTATTCTGGGTGTAATTAAAGAACATCTGTGCCCCTGGCTGACCAGGCTGGCTTCCTAAAGAAAAGAGCCCGAAATTCCCGAAGGCACGGTGGTCACCATGGCCCAGTGCTGGGCAGGCAGAGGTGCTGGCGGCTTCTCCATGGGGCCACGTGACACAGACAACACTTGCTCCTCCGTGCAGGGCTGTGGCGCAGCTGAGGGCGTGTGAAGTGTGCTTGCTTCCTCCCCCACCTCTCCTCTCCTTTCCTGGGCTTTGGTCTGGGTGGCCCTCTGGTCCGTCACAGGAAGGACGGCCCGGCTGGGGCCCAGGGACTCTGGAGCCGGTGGGAGTGCTCACCTGTACAGCCCAGACTGCTGAAATCCGGGAGGGTCACACCCTCCATCCTTAACCACCTTCAACCAGCTTCCCTGGACTGCATCCCTGCTCTGTGCCCCATGGTCACCAGGTGGGGTCTGGCCCAGGGTCTTTGTGTCCTGAACAAGGAAGTGCACAGGATGCCTGAGGGGAGAAGCAGGCCAAGGGCTGACTGGAAAGGGAGAAGACCGGACCCACCCTGCAGTGTTCAGGGAGGTGCTCACCCGCGCCACCCCCCCACCCCCCCCCAGGACTCAGTGTTGGGGCTGCCTGCCCTGGGGCTTGGGAAGGGCCTCAGTTTGGTCTGAGGTTGGCTCCTGGACTCAGCCCCTCCCTCAAGGTGGGCTTTGACCTTCAGGCCTTGGAGGAACCCTCACGGGGTCCCAAGGCCACCAGGGGTCAAATCTGCTTGGGGTGGGGTCACCCAGGGCTGCAGAGACCACAGGGCGCAGGCCTGGGGACCTGTAGTGTGGATGCTAGGTGACCTGGACACTCACTTCCGCTGTGCAGACCCGGGCAGCCTGGTCCTGGGCCGAGGTCTGACTCGGGAGGTGGATCTAGGCCCAGAAGCAGCTCCGGGTGCCCTCCTGTCCCTCTCAGCTGTTTCCTTGGTTACCTGACACTGAAGATTCACCCCAGAACCAGCTCCAGCAGTGGACCTCCCTTCCTCTTCTGGCCTCCCCTGAGCCACCTGCTGCCTCAGTCAGGCCAGGCCACACCTGGCCACCAATGCTCACACAGTGCTGCCACTCAGGACAGGGCCCTTCGCTGGTGTGAACACTTGCATTTCCCCCAAAGCCTGCTCTTCTTTGCCCTTCTTTGAGACCCTGTCCCGTGTGGCTCCTACCACCCCAGTTTCTCTGTACCACACGTGGGGCACTTGGTGACAGTCCCTCCCTGCCTTCCTGCAGTGACAACTTCTGCCATTTCCCATCACCACCAGCATTGCACATTGATCTGCACAGCTCACCTTGAACCCAGGAGTGCTACGCTTGTGACTTGTCAAGTGTGTGCGCTTCTTGGAATGAGTCCTTCAAGCAGAGTGAGTCTAATGGCAGTCAGGGCTCACAGCATGACATTCTGTGAGTGAAGTGAAAAGAAGACACATTAAGAAAGTAGTTAGCTCAAGGAGGAGATAACAAGAGTAAGTCAGCTCCAACTTGGAGGATCAGAATTCCCACTTCCCTTGCAGTAGTTTCTGTAAATCTTCCACCTGAAGTCCAGTGTCATCATGAGGGGCCTGGGCCAGAGAACAGCCCTCCTGTCCACCTTCAGGTACATCAGCCGCACCAGATGATGGAAGGAGATGTCCGCTGTGCCTGTGCCTGGTGACTCACTGGGCCCCTCCCCACTCCACGCCCAGGCTAGAGACCGAAGCTCCGCTCTGCATGGCCCTTCTCTGCCAAATACTGCTGTTATTTCTTCCTATGAAAGTGACCTCAAGTTAGATATTTCCTCTCCACCCAGTCACCTCCAGCTGCCCCCACTTGCATTGTTTCCTGCCCTTTTGTGACCGCTGCTGTCCCTCCCCTTGAAGCACCCTAGACCGGCAACAGCTGGCTTCCTCAAAGGAGGCTGAGCCAGGCTGCTCTACTCTGAAGAACACATCAGGGCTCATATCGAGGGGAGACCATTGCCACTTCCTCTGCCTAATTTCCAGGTCCAGCCTTAACTTGGGTCCACCTTGTTCACCCAGTTCTCTCTCCTTCTTTCCAAATGTAAACTGTAGTTCAGAGCCAGCATGGCATGGTGCTTACAAGTGTGGATGTGGCCATCACCTACAGGCTGCGACTTGGAGACGGCCTTGGTGCCTCAGTGTCCCAGTAGGAACGGGAGTTCTAATCACATTTGCCTACATGGCCAGTGTGGGGCTGGTCTGAGACGCACGAGGTGCTCAAGTCCCAGAAAGCCTTGCCAGGTCACTCAGCTGAGGCGCCTCCCTGCGTACCCACACCTCTCCACAGCAGCCTCCGTAGTGCAGCGTTGCAGACGTTCTTGCACTGAACATCAGCTCCTCGCCGAGGGCACCCAGCAAACCCTCTCAAGCAGCATCTGTTGATCCTCTCAGCTAAACTTTAATCTTGGTTCATTCATTCTTTAACTGATCCACTCAACAAATGTTTATTGAGACAGTGTGCCTGGCTCTATACAACGTACCTCCCCCAATATATGCATCTTGGGCTGATCTGCAGTCTGTACCTTTGTAATGCGATAATGAACATTTAAAAGGGACTGTTGTCCTTTGTTTCAGTAGCCATTTATTAAGTTCCTGCACTGTGACAGGCATTAGAGGTACACAGACAAGAAAGAGGCCCTGCCCTAGGGGACTCGCTGTCCAGCAGCAGGACACGCTCTAAGCTTTAGTATGAGATCATTGGAGGTCACAGTTACGTTCTGCAAGAGATTTTTTGTGTTTCGTTTTTGGTGCTTAGAATGAACTCAGGACCTCACTCATGACAGGAAAGTGCTCTAGCTCTGAGCTACATTCCTAGCCCAGGTTTCTTGTTTTTACTACACAAATACATACAACAGATAGATGAGCAGATGGACAGTCTGCATTGGAAGGCTGTTGCTGGGACAGAAAACCCAACTCCTGCATTTTAAAGGAGAGGTTTACTTGGCTCACAGTTTCCAGTGGGTTCAGTCCATGGTCACTTGGGTTCAAGACAAAAACAGCATGGAAGAGGGGCCTGGTGGAGGAAAGCTGCTCCCACCACAGCGGCTGGAGGGGGACAGAGACAGAGAGAGACAGAGAGAGGGGCCAGGGACAAAAACACTCCCTCCTAGGTCACGCCCCACCCAGGCCCGCCTCCCACAGCAGTCAGCCGTGAGTGCTCAGGGAATTGACCCTCTGGTGGGTACAGAGCCCCCATGACTCAGTCACCTCCCCGAAGCCCCAGCTCTGAACACGACAGCCTTTGGGGGACATTTTTGATCTGAACCATAGCATAATCTAAAACAAAAGGCCAAACCCTCCTTGGGACTTTCCTGTGAGTGTATGGTTTCCCAGCATTTGCCAAGGGAAGCCCCGCCTAATCTCACCTGAGGGGAAATGCAGGCTGCAGCTTCACTGGGCAAGAAGGGGTCCTGTTCCCCGAGGTCGGGGAACACTGCCCACGAGAGTCCCGCTTTGAGATCCACCAGGAGCGTCAGGATATTGAGGCCTCTAGCAAACCCACAGTAAAGGAAATTATAGCTTTGTCTCATCCAATGCTTTCCGCACTTGCATCACCCTGGACACCTTTTCCTGTGATCTGCAACACTGAAGCAATTACGACTAAAACTCTACCCAGCGAGGGTTACTGTGTGGTTCTGTGTACTCACAGCAGGTCTGGAAAGATGGCATCTTCGTTAATAACCAAGCTGCCTTGGTAAATCTATTTGTATAAAAATGTGCATACATATGTGAAAGTTAAATTATCTAAAAAGCTTATTATCTGAGTTCCTAATATTCTGTTTCCTTATTACCTAGCTGATGGACGCCAAAAGCCATAGTGGGAAACTAAGATGCAGTCCCATGATGCTTAAGTCTAATTTAAAAAAACATTTTCTATCTTTTCGTGACAATGCAAGGACCTCTCTCCTTTAGCCGTAATTAAGTTTGCTGGTTAAGAATCCGACTGCAAGTCGCCCACTGTTTCCTGCTCTGGGTGCTCCCTGTGTCCCTCGCGGCACTGAAGAGCTGACTCGACTCGGGCGCGGTCAGAGCTGGCAGAGCCTTGCCAGGGGAGCGCAGGGGCGGCCCTAGGCCGCTGTCAGGCCAGCGCCCTTCTCAGCAGCTGCACAGAAATCCCAGTTCCGGGGATCTCACCACCAGCGGCTGCCCTGACCCCTCCATGGCTGTGTTCTGAAGGCCAAAGAGGCTGCTCCAGGTCGGTCCACGTCCACCCCGCCCCGGGCTTGGCCCGCATGTGCTCAGGGCTTCGATGCAGCTCCGCCCTTGTTCCGAGGAGAGGAGTGGTCCTGTCCCCCCCTGCCCTCCCCTCCCCTCCCCTCCCCTCCCGTCCACCCCTCGGTCCTGGTCCCGCCCCTCTGGGTCACTGCTGCTCGGCCTGAGCCTGTGAGGAGGGACCCTCGCCCCGACCCCTGCATCCGAGCCCACAGGTGTGGGGTCGCGTGTTTCTGCACGGCCAAGGCTGCCAGCCGACCGGTCCGGTCCAGTCCTGTCCCGTCCTCCACACCCGGCCGTTCCTGCCGTCCCAGGCTCCTCCCTAGCCAGCGCCCCAGACACCGCTTCCCGGAGTCTTTGCCTCCTCGGCAGCACCTTCCTGGGGTCCCTGCTCTAGAAAGCCAGCAGCCTCCTCCACCACCCCGATGGCCCCCAAACCGCCCCCGGCTCTGGGAGAGCACCCCAGACTCCAGCCTGGGGCTTGGCGAAGACGCACCTGTCTGGCTCGGCCTCCGCTGTGGACGGTGGCAGGCGCGCAGGACCAAGCCTCTCCCGAGTGCCTCTCTCTCCCGTCCTCTTCGGGAGGAGACATCGCCCCCTATGCACCGCGGGTGCAGCCCTGACCCCACTGCACCCAGGGCCTGCCACGCCGGCTGCACGCACCCACCTCACAGCCCCAGAGCCCCAGGGCCCGCCGCTGCCCATGCTGCCCGCCGCCCTCCTCCGACTAAGGGCCGTTCTGAGAGCCCTGGCCCCGGGAAGGCTCAACCCCCAGTCAGGGAGTTGCCGCTGTTTCCTTGGCCTGCACCTCCAAGTCCTGGTCGCAGATCAGCGATTCTGTCAGGGATCCGGTTGTCACTTGGGTCATCCGTGGAGACGGAGGAAACCAAGTGGCCATGCTCAGCCTGAGAGCTGAGGGAGAGAGAGGGAGAGAGAGAGAGGGAGAGACAGAGAGGGAGAGAGAGAGAG